TTATTGTTTCATATATTAGCAACTTTATGAGAATACTTAGAAACTAAATTCTATCATGAGCTTCAGCTTGCAGGAACCCTATGTTGTCACTATGTACATGATAACCGAAAAACTATATATGTGAGCAACCTACAATGTATTTACATTGTATTGGATGGCTTCAACTGTGGGTTATGAAGGTGTTCAGTTATCATTTCATGAGTTCTATTTGGGGACTTTTTTGCTTTTGCGCTTTGATGAGTGTCAAAATAACTGAGATTAATAGCCTGCAATTATTATTGATATTGTACTGGATGGCTAACAATAATGATATTGATGAAATTCTAAGCTCTCATCCATAAATTTCATATACATATGGCTGATATATTCTATGTGATATTAACAAATATTTTCAGATGATTTTTTCCATAAACTTCACTCAAATTTCAACATTGAGAAAATAGCAAAGTAGTACATAATAATAGCAAAGTAGATCATTGCTTTTATTTTAACCATTGTAAATAAATTTCTAGTCCAAGATGCTCGGCAATACCCTCCTTACTCATATTGGTCATTGTTGAATTGTCACCAACTTTACGTGCATGCGTTAGGAGATCATTCTTATTCCAGTTCATGTTGGGCATATCTAGGGTTGCCTCTTCAGGCCCAAGGCCCAGACCAAGCCCGGTGTCTAAACCGGACCCGGCCGAGCTAGCACCTAGCGTGGACCTAGGAAAATCCCAGGATTTCAGGCCCAACCATGCTCCGGACATGGGTCCGGTTGGCTCACTGAATCCTGCATCGAGCCCGGCCCAACCGACAAGAAAAATGGTCGGGCCGGAGCACCCAGGTATGGATCTGGCTCAGACCTGGGCCCAAACCTAGCTGCGAAAGGTGGGCCGGGCGCCAAGAGCCTGTGTCCAAACGATCAAAAATTTAACCATTGGATCGGGCGACCCGGACCCGGCCTGAACCCGGCCCAGACCCAGCTGGAACATGGCCCGATTCGAACAGGAAAAATAGCCAATAACAGTTATTTTGTATATTTGACCAAAATACCCCCAAAAAGGTCAAAAAAGATTAAAATTTAAGGGTATTTTGGTCATTTAGTTAGGGGCCGCCTCTATAAATAGAGGGGTTTTTATTTATTTTTCTCATCCAAAAATTATCTACTTCTCTCTAATACTCTTATACAATCTAATACTCTCTTATACTCTCTTATTCTCTCTTATATGCTCTAATTCTCCAATCAAATGACTTCTTCCCCTGATTATGAAGGGCAAATTCTAACTCTTGATACTGAAATGAGTCCTAGTCCCACTACACCTACAGGAGCTATTCCTAATACCGATGTTGATCCTAAATCTGGTGGGGATGATGCCACACCTAGAGCTCCTAAAAGGCTGAGATCCAATGGGTGGAATTTTTTTAAGATCGAAGATAGAAGTCACCACTGATCAACACGGTAAACTTCTCTCCCAGAAGGCTAAATGTGCATTGTGCGGCCATATTTTTTAAGTTCATCATAAAAGTGGTATCAACCACCTCAAACACCATTTGAAAAAACACAACAAAACTCAAGAGGCAACGTCTCAAGGAAATATCCGCCAATCTCTACTCTCTCAATCATCAACCTTTGGTCGCCTCGGTTCCTGGAAGTACGATGCAATTAAAGCCAGGAAATGCATCATCAGGTTTATGATTCTTAGAAACCTTCTTTTTAACTTAGTAGAAGATGATGAATTTGAGGATATGATTAGATATGGTTTTTATCCCTCATTTCAAAAAAAAAATCTTGTCAATCTTCTCAACGCGATATTTTAAAATACTATCACAATGAACAAACAAAAATAATTTTTTATTTTTAAAAATTAAACTATAAATTTTCTCTAACTTCTGATATTTGGACATTTAGGACACAAACTTTTTATTTATGTATCATAGCACACTGGATTGATGATACTTGGTAAATGTTTAAAAGAATTATTTCTTCTACTGTTTTTGAAGATTCACACACTAGTGTTAATGTTGCAAATTTAATAATGGAAGAACTTTCAAAATTAAAAATTTCTAAAAAAAAAATTCTCTTTCACTAGATAATGCAAGTAATAATAATGTAACTATAGCTCATGTCAAATCATCTTTGCTATTGCCATGTCAGGGTGATATTTTTCATATTAGATGCATGTGTCATATTTTAAATTTAATTGTTTAATGTACATTTAATAAAACTAAACCCGTGATAAAAACATTAGGGTTATAGATTATGCTCATAATGCTTCTGAACAAAGACTTAAAAGATGAAAACAATTATTTAGAAGATAAAATTTGAAGCCCAAGTTAATACAAAAAGAGTTGACCACGGGTGGAATTTCACCTGTGCAATGTTAAATGTAGCAATAAAGTATAAATAAATTATAAATATTTTTATTACTTTCTATATTTTTAGTTCTAGCTCTAATAGTATGCACGGAAAAAACTGATGAAGAATGGGCAGTTACATGTAGTATAAAAGAGATGCTATAAGTTTTTTATGAAGCTACTATGTCATTATCTAGTTGTTATTATCCAGCTATTATTCAAGCTGGTTTATAAGTTTCAAGTATTCAAACTTTTTTTACTAATTATTACATGAATAATTATTTTGGAAACTTGATTTTTCAAATGGAAAGTAAATTTGATAAGTATTTTAGACATATGCCTATTATTTATGGTTTGGATGTTCTTATTGATCCATGCTTGAAGGATATTGCCCTTTAAATTTTGTTAAATTCTTGTATGAGAACATGATAATAGACATTGATTGGCCAGACTATTACTGCTCTTACTCATCATAACACTATTAAATATTATTTTTAAAGATTATATGATGAGTATGCATGTAGATATGTTGTAAGTACACCTCAACCTACAGCTTCTACTAGTTCAACATAGGGCAAATGTAAGATTTTTATAGGCAATCAATGATAGCAAGACTAACTGGTAGCAGTGGATCTGGATCATCATCAAGGAAAATTTTTAAAATTAAACAATATTTAGCTGCACCTTTAGTTAATCCTAAAATAATAATTTTTATGTTTTGCAATGGTGGAAAATATATGGAATAGTTTCATATCATATACTTTTCATCATGGCTCGTGACTTACTAATAGTGCAAGTTTCTACATTAACGTCAGAATCCGACTTCAGCACATCATGACGTTTGATCAACGTCCACAGGATATCGCTAGATCCGTTTACCGTACATGCGGTAATGTGCCTACAAGATTGATTGAGGTCCGAGAAGAAAACTCAAGACATTGGTCGAATGGCTCGTATTGAAGATAGACTTGATGAGTTGACAATAGGAGAGACAGAGAGCAGAAATTCCAGAAAAAATTGCAATCGTTAGTTATTAATAATAAAGAATTTTTTATCATTTTAATTTGTATAATATTTGTATTTGTAATTTACATAATTATAAGTGATTAATAATCTAATTAAATTATTGTCAAAATTTTGCATATTTTAATTACTCTTAAAATTTCAATTTTTTGTAAAGAAATTAATTTTTAAGCAATTTTTTTGAAAAAGGAAAACAACAAGGTCGGGCCAGTGTCTGACCCGTTTGGGGCCGGACTCGGACCAAGACCTAGACTCAGCTCGGCCCCACTGGGTCCGGGTTCGAGTCACATTTTGCCCGGTTCGGACCTGGATTTCCGGGTGATGCCGGTCCGAACGGACAGGTCTAGGCATATCCTTATAGTATGGACATTTTAACACCCGTTTCGGTCTTTAGCTTCCAAAGCATTAGCTTTTAGCATTATCGATACTACATGAATTAAATCATTCATCTCATCACGCTCTCGATTTTTATCTGTATAGGAAATCCATTCTTCAAGAATGGGTAGTTTAGATTTAGTAACCCTTCTACGCTGAGTTTAAATAATTAAAGTGAGTTGGCATTAGAAAAAAAATAGCTACAAATTTCTTAACTTTCAAGATTCTTACCTTTGATGTTGCTACAAATTAAAGTGATTTTGAATTGCTCGTTGTTTTGAAATCTAATCGGTTTTGTTTCTTTTATTTGACTCAACTACTCAGTCTCAATAATTTTATATGTTTGGTGTGATTTTCCATTTTATACAGGTATTATGATTAATTAGGTTATTTGTAGGTTTCATACATTAGTTATGATTGTCCATGGTGATTTGTTTAGTTATAAGGCGATGATGAAGTTCTAAAAATATGAACCTACATCTTTTAATAAGATGTATTGAATGGTTCCCGTGATGATAATGACCTACATATAAATATATCCTAAGTCTTTTCTATTTTCATATCATATGAGTTGTTATGATGAATCAGGTTATTTACAGGTTTCACGTGAAATTTCTGCCAACAGGTGCATAGTTCATATGAGTTACACCCAAACGAGTTATTATAGGTTTGGATTCAAAATCTTTCTTGTCATATAGGTTGGTATGATGAATTAGGTTTTTTAGAGGTTTCATATGAATTTTCTGCTAATTCAGGTGCGTAGTTCATACGGTTATGAGCAATCACGTTAGTTGTAGGTTTCGTATGGTTTTTCATGTCAAGCAGGTATTTATGACGAATCTAGTTATTTAGAGGTTTCATATGTTATTTTAGCACTTTTCTTTTGATAAGATTACCACCTACAACGGTCACAAACAAATGTCTTTAGTAAGAAGTAAACTAACGATGGTGACCATATACATTTTTCTCTACAAATTTCAATACCAACCAAACAAAAGAAAAGTGAAAAAATCCTAATCAACCAAAAAAATTCCCTTTTTTAGATACCAACCAAACAAAAAAAAGTGTGAAAATTGATTTCCCACCATGTTTTATGTGTGAACCAAACACCAACAATCAATTTTATAGAAAACTTTGAAAAACCCAAAAAAATAGGTTTTTCACATAGAATAATATTTCCCAATAAAATGATAAACCAACCAAATAGCCCCTAAAAAGAAAAAGAAAAAAAAGCTCAAACCAACCCGAAAAGACCGCCTATGGGAAGGAAAAGGACAGCACAAAGAAGCTTAACTCATAAGAGCCCATGATTTGGTAACAAGCTACTCTTTTGTAATTTCTTCAATCATAGGAAAATTAAGAAGAAAATATAACAAAATACACCAAGTCTGATATTACAAACATACAGATATAAGATGTTTCATTCTGCATAACTGACTAGAGATGTGAGAACCTAGAAGTAGCACCAAAATCATATACAGCGATGGGCTGCGCGCCACAGTGAGCTGCAATGCATCAAAATTCTAGATGTAGATGCTCTCATTCCTGCATAAAATAATACGTCATGGTTTTGTATGAGCTGCTGAGCATTTTCATGCAAACAGGCCTTAACTGTCAGTGATAAATGCTATTACCTCTAATTTGACTTGGGACTTAAAAACACTTCCGATTTTCCTTTTGATATCATAAAGTATCTGGCTCCAGTTGCATATCGTCGTTGAAATGAATGCAGATATGGACCACACTTACACATTTCTTTTTCAGGTGTTCAATGGAAAAATCGACGTCGGCAACGAGTGGACCCAAGCTCCTCGTACTCTGATTTAGTAACGCACATGGATTCAAAATCAGGGCTTGATGCCAGAAGTGATCCACCTCTCCACACGCCTTTAATGCAACTGAACAAGAAGAAGAAGTGAGGATAAAAAGAACGAAAGAATAAAAGGAGAGAATAGCTGTGTGAAGATAGATCATACTCTTCTTGAGTTGTTATCTTCAATTGATAATCATCACGAACGAGAGGTCGGAGTTCCTTTTCTCTGTGTGAGGAACAAGGAAAACAAGGAAAGGATTATAGAGCAGAAAATTTTTGCACAATGCCAAAAGAGTACACACCCCTAGGATTATGAGGGCGCAAAGGGTGCAACCACTTTGTATACCCTAATTTACTTTATTAGCAATTAGCCCACTTAATTTTACACGACATTATTTCTCGAATTTGGCAGAGATATGATATGGGAATCACTCGACGATAAATAAGTTTCGTCCCCAGTTTAACTGAAAAATAATGCATTGTCCTCTAAATTGTCGGCAAAAAAGGGGACATCATCTAAGTTTCAGGGGTAGCGTAAATAGACTAGTTAAGAGGATATAAGTTGCTTCAACACCATAGTTCAGGAGATGTATATGCAATTAACGGGAAGGCAAAAAAAAAGCTCACAGGCGCTCTGCAAATCCAGGGAACAGTGTGCTTCCACCAGTCAAGACGATACTGCAAGCAGAGAATCGTAAGCACATATATTAACAAAGATAAGCAAGATTAAATATACATAACTACAAAATCTAGAAAAGGATTTTTTTTTCCTGTAACAGATAGTAAGATCACCTCTCAAACAGTACAGGATGAAGATGAGGATGGCAAGAGTGAACTGCTCGAACTATGCATTCTGCAAGTCCAGCTTGATCCATGCCTGTGGATATCCAGCGCAAACAATTACATGAAGCTCTCATAACTATTCAAAAATATGATGCAGGGTAAAGTCCTCCATTAGTCAGAGGCCATGATTTAACAATGCATTGTCACATGAAACAAGAATCTCTGATCTGATCAGTTATTTTGAGCATATGTTAATTATGCAGCTGTGTGAATACTAATGATTTAATAACTACCACAAAATAAATATGTAGAAGGTTTATAGGAACAAGGTTCACAAATTCTCTCGTGACAAAATCACGTGCTACAGCATAGGTTCTTTAAGATATACATAGCCAAAGTGTCCATGCTATTGACAAGGTTCAATTTAATACAAACCTAAATCAGAAGGTCGGAAGATCATCTCAGGTACAAGAAAACGCTCGTTGGTCAAGTTAAACTCCTGCATGGAAGAAAACTTTAGATCGCAAAACTAGATTAAACCTTAAATTAATTTTTTGTCCAGAAATCATGGTTTAGATTTACATTCTTTGACAAATTTGTTTTCTTCCTATCCTCAACCCCATCTGTGTCTTCTTGACAATCAACTGTTTCCTTCACCCTTGATTTCATATTTGAGCTTCCGTTTTGCAAAGAACGGTACCTTTGTGCTTTATCCATGTCTTTAACATAACCTCTCGTGTGTTCAATACCATCAGGTAGAACATATGTGCACTTGAATAGGTTGTCTTTCCCAGGTTTCCTAGAAAAACAGTAAACAATGAACTAAAGTAGAGTAAAACAAATCCACACATTTGAGATATCATATAAGAAAACTACTGTGTTTCTATTTTATGATTGCCTACATTTCTATAATATGATTACCTACTAAAAGCTCTTTATTCATACTCGTCCTAAGCATCGCTCTAAAAAGACCTGGAGGGATGCTCCTTGTTTAGAATAACTAGGTAATGTTTGACGCTCCAACTAGGGCTGAGCACGGTTCGGTTCGGGTCGGTTTTTACCAAATTTTAAACAACCGAACCGAACCGCATATAATTCAAAACCGAACCGAACCGTTGCAAGTCGGTTCGGTTCAGTTTGTTCGGTTCTAACTTCGTTTTCAGAATGACTTAAACAGTAGACTTGCCAAATGCTAAATCAAATAGAATATATCGTGACGGGTAAGGGATCCCATGAATATTAAATAGTAGTATTTCAGGGGTTGCCGACTTAATTTGGAAAAACAAGAGGGGAAAAAAGGAACAAAATCATCATCCATGAAAACATATATACCAGAAAACAAATTAAGGATCGTTATCAAAGCACAAACTCAGAAATCATAAGAGAATAGTAGTGCATAAATAAACAGTAAACTGATAGGCCGATATCTCAACTTACTAGCTGTTGTATCCAAGGAAATAAATCAAAATTAAAGAATAATTGCAATCAGAAGCTTGAAGAAGAGAAAAAGATAAAGTTTATACCTCAGTCTCGACGACGGTGACGGGTGCGGGTGTCCCCCCAAAGTCGAAGACAGATCCTGAACCTGAGGAGATGTTTCGACCTCGGCCATGAAGACTGTGGAAGTGAGGAAGAGGAAGAGGAAGTGAGAGCGGTGGACTGTGGGACTGAGGAGTGAGAGAGAGTGAGAGAGAGGAACTGAGGCAGCTGGGAAAGGGGGAAGGGAAGTTTAGGTGTTTAGGATTTGAGAGTTTGAGACTTTGCCTTTGGGGATAGGTCGGGTTTGAGCAGAATGGGTATTTAGACCATGGGGTATTCGGTCGGTTCGGATCGGTTCGGATTGAAAAGTTTTCAACCGACCCGAACCGCCCTACTCTTAAAACCAATTTTTTCGGGTCGGTTCGGTCGGTTTTTTCGGTCTGGACCGAACCGTGCTCAGCCCTAGCTCCAACAGAGGCCCATTCAGACCAGATATGCTACTTTCCTATTCATATTCTTCTCTAGCTCTCTCACAAATAAGGCTAGAAATGATTTGGATCGAATACTAAGGTAGTCATATTGTATTCCTTTAAAAGTTTCGGATTTAATTCAGCGTCTGTTCCTTCTCTGAATCCGAATATGAATATGAATATATTCATCGAGTATGAAAATATACTTATTTGATTAATATTCTATAGTTTAAAAAAATAAATCTATGTAATTAAAAAGTTATTTAATATGGTTATAGATCTAATTTCATTTGGCTAAATAATTTGTTCTCAAAATAACATTTTAATTCAGAACTATAAATTATTCCTCTATGACTATGACGTAGAGAATTATAATTAAATATTTGGTTATGAAATTGATTTGCTCTTAAGTCTCTCAAAATTAGCATAGAACTCTAACTTAAAAAATGACAGTAAAAAATAACATCAAGTGAGTAATAAATACAATTTACAATGGATAGAAATTTAAATGAATATTTTGATAAGCAAATGAATCTAATGTGTAAAGATCGCATTTGATTTGTTTAAAATACTAATAAGGTAATAAATATTTGATTCTCTTTAATGATCTCTTAAATCGAATTTGAATAAATACCTAGAGTAATAATCGAAGTATTTGATATTTAGTCAATCAACATACACCCTGAGACACCTATCCACCCATGCTCTCTCCTTCGCTTCCCCTGACCCATCCTCTCCCTCCCTTCATGTCCTTTTATGGAGGGAGGGAGGGTGGGTGGATAGGCGAGACGTGGGGAGAGATTTTTCCCCCTAGTAAGAATCTATTATAAGGGTAATAAGTGAGCGTATGTAAACATAAACATATATGTATAGACAAGTTGGTTCATGCAGATGAGCAAACCCAAAATTTTGACAATATAATTATATAAACAGTACATGACCTAAATTTAGCCCATAGTACTTGTTATACTTGATAGGAAATAGATCTTTGGTGTTCGCTGCCTTATCACATACCTTAATGTATCCTACTTCTCATATTGAAATATATATAGTAAATTATTATACTTTATAAAAGTCATTATGTTGACATCTTTTTCTACTAAACACAATCTTTAATACATTAAGTAGATAAATATCAAGCGTGTAAAGAGTATGAAACCATTGTTTTAGAAGTGTTTCAATATGTACCAAGAAATGTTTGGAAATAACAAAACATAATTGTAATTGAAGGTACATCTAAGAATTGTCTGACATGTTCCAGAAGTGAATGATACATGTCACAACCAATGATTCAAGATTACGAAGATAATGGGCAAGATATGGCCGTCACATAAACAACATAAAGAGAATGGGCAAGACATAGCCTTCCCATAAACATTAGAAAGGAAATCTATAAATGAGAGAGCTGATAATAAAAATCATGCAAACTCTTGTGCTTCAGAACAACCTTTCAAACTTCCCTAGTATCAACAAGCTTTTAAAGTAAAGAAAAAGATGAAGAGGTTAGCTGTAAGGAATTGCAAGGCCCTATAAAATAGATAATAAGGTTTGACTTCGAAGAAGAAAACAATTCAGTCATTTATACATTGTCAATACTAATTGAGCTGTTAACAATCAAGGGATGTTTAGGGTCGATTTAGTCCCACATTGATTAAATGGGGAGACAATGTGGGTTTGTATGAGATTTGGGTTCCCTCCCACTAACAGCAAGCTCCTAAGGGAAAGACTCCTAGGTCCCTTACAAGTCCCTTACACTTGGTATGATGGCCAACCCCGCGAGCATCACGAATGGTAATGCCGGCATTGTAGTCTTCATCCGGGACTAGTTCAGTGCAAAGCTAAAGGGCTGATGCCAGGATTATTCAGGACTAGACTGTACATAGTCAATGTGGAACCGCAAGGCATTGTGAACTAGATAATACTATACCAAGCTTCGGATGATTTGCACAAAATTCTTGGAATTTCTGCAAGTTCCACAAAATTGAAACAATTTTATCAAAAACGAAATTTGCCCGCAAAAACTTTTTGAAAGTTTCGAAGGGAAGTTCAGGGTGTTTGAACAAATCACCCCGAAGTTCTTAGGGTTTTTGTCAAGCCTAATTGAGGTGATAACAATCAAAGGGAAACGCTCTCTTTTATCAAATAATCAACCAACCACATTGTCCATATAATGTCAATGACTACCCAAAATCAAATTTTTAGACAATGGAATCACCTCGCAATCTGAAGATCCCTGGGCACATCCTGCGACACAAAGCAAAGCTTCTCCTTGGCATCATCAACAATAAAAGTCTCATCCATCACATTGATCGCCCGATACGAAATCAGCTCCTTAAGATAATTCGTAAGCGCCTTCCCTCCAAGATCCAATCTTTTCACTCCATAATTGAGCGTAAAGTTCTGCACCACCGGAGCGGCGTGCGTGAAAGAGAACCCACAATCAACAACAAGACTACACTGAGCTTTCGAAGCGATGTCATCAGCGTCTCGCCGGCTAGCCTCGTAGAGATGAACTAGAGACGGCGAGTCGGCAACGAACAGAGACTGAAACCCTAGGTCCTCGAACACGATCTCGTCGGTGGATCGCTGGAGAGAGGGAGGATTAAAGAGAGGCTCGACGAGGAGGAGGGAGGAGGAGGAGGGGTCGAAGCTAGGGTTAGGGTTAGGGTTCTGGAGGAGGCGAAGGATGCGATCCCAGACCTCGCGCTGGAGGTCGGGGTTGACGAGGTAGCCTCG